TTTATCTACAAACAAATTGTGATATTAATTATTTTTAAAACAATATCAAATTATCTATGGCTAACTTTTTTCAAATATTTCAAATGAATCATTCACGAAGAGACAATTTAAAATAAAATAATTTCTGAAACTTTCACAAAACGGGCCGCTTGATGAATGTTTCCCGGGCCTGTTCATCTAGCCAGTCCGCCTCTGATCCTAACCCCACATTTTAAGAATTATTTTCACGTACTTATAAGTAAAAGTAAACAATTTTATATGTAGGATTAAGCAAGTAAATGTTATAAGAATATTTACATGTGGAGTTGTATAACAAAAGTTAGTATTTTCGTAGATTTCAGTACTTAAAGCCTTGATGGTTTGATCGTTTTTTACACCTGTTTATTCGTTTTACTGCGGCATCTTTGAAAATACCCAGATGGCATGACATAACATTCCTATTATTTGATAAGCTTTAGATTATTCAGTTATTAAATGTTTGAAATTATTTATCTTTGTGGAAAACACTATTTAAAGAATGTGGCGCCCTTAACAGTTTGTAGCCTCCGGAAGAGGCATTTGTCCACCTATGTTTATACAGCGTGGTAAAAAAGTTCTGCATAAAATTCATATTTTCATTAAACAATTTTTTTTTTCGAAAAACGGTGAGACCCGTCTATTTTTATTTGATCCAGGGCACCTTATTATGTGGAAAAAATGTTTTTTTCGATAATCCATTTACGGCAGCGATGACATAATTTTTTTTTAAATGACAGCGCATATTTTTTTCTTTCGAAATTGATGACAGTGGTAATTATTTAAACAACGGTGTGACAATTTCGATGTCTTACATAACANACGTCACTTCCATGCCGCCATGACACTTCTTGTTAGCGACCTATCACCTGCCCTCAGCCTCCTCAGGTAGCCACCCCCGTACCGCCATGACACTTCTTGCATGCCAACACCCACGCATCTCTTGCACAACGACAATGCCCACAAGAAGTCGCTGAAGGAGCGCGCCGAACTCGATGGACGCTGGCCATCGAGTTCGTGACGTCACTTCCTGATCCAGAAACCGCCTCATATATCTACTCATGTAACATTATTTTTAAACGGATTTTACACAAAAATGGAACATTCTATCGATATGGACAAAGAGTAGGTACCTTTTTTTACTAAAAAACTCTGAAATTTCATCGTTTTCAGTCAAAAGTCAAAAAGTCAAAGCATAAAAAGTTATGGTAAATTTTACCCCCTACCCCCCCCCAGATTTGGAACGTATGTGATGAAAATTTGTAAATTTCGTTTCAGTAATAATCTCAACTGGTTTCGGAGTTATTTAGAAAAAACCATTATCAGCCCTTTAAGTGGCTATAACTTCCTTAGGAAGAATTTTAGAGCCACATTTATATAAAGAAAAAATAATCTTTTTCGACATATAACACACTGTAGAAATATTGCCGCTTAATTTCGGGACACCCTGTATAAATGAGAACTATTTATGTGGAATATGTTCCTAAAAATATCAGATTCCTGAGAATATTCCAATATTTTATGTACCTATATGAAGTTAATACAAGTTATTAGAATCAAATTATGACAATTGTACTAAACTTACCTCTATTCAAAGTTGCTTCCCTAAAGATGGGGGGGGGTAATTCCAAATAACTAAAATAAAGACATGTTTTAAATATAAAATATATAATAACAAATTGATAATTTTTTGGTAATCTACTTGTTCCCAAAGTTTGAAAAAAAAAAACTTTCATCTTGTTTATTACTTATTTAGCATAATTTCATTATTGTTATAATATATTAATTTAATAATTTTCAGCTTGACAAATTAATGATTCAAGCAGCGGAACAAGCAGAATTAGTAAAAATACAAGAAGAAGAGTTAAATAGTAAAAGGGCACAACTAGAAAGCCTTCGCAGGGAAGAGCAGAGATTAGAAGAGCAAAAAATAGAAAGTATGAACAAACTTGATGGTTTAACGTCAAATTTGCAAGATACGCAATTCTGCATCAGTCAAGTAAGTCTACATATTTTCTAAAATATATATCTTAACTTTCAATTGATCTCATAGGCTAAAGCTTTAATTACTCAATTACAAGAGCAAACAAGGCAAATGAACGATGGAATTTCATCATGCGGTATTGCTATAGAACTAGGAGATGCCACACAAGTTCCTGATGCAGCACTTAGGATTGAACCGGAATTCAGGGATCCGGATTATAATAAAGTATTAATGACAAATGGCAACATCAGCAAAGAGGTAGGACTATAAGTACTTATACAGGGTGTCCCGAAATTAGCCTGTAATATTTTATCAGCAAATTCTACTACTAAATGCCTTATAAGGGAACCAGAACCCTAAACAGTGAACTCATACAAGTTATTTTTTACAGATATTTGAAATCATTTAAGATAAAACAGCTAAATTTGAAATCGGATATTACTTAAATTTAATCAAAAAATAATTTCTAGGATGCCCTACTTGAGAGTAAAATTGGTTTAAAAATTATGTTACATACCACAAAAATGTCTGTCTAAATTCTAAACTATTTACCTTGATTTAAGTTATGAAAAATAGGAGTCGATTATTTATAAAATTGTGTAATAATTTATTGAATTTAAATATTGATAAAATGAGTTATAGACTATTAATGGTATTATAGTTTAACTTTCAAAAAATGTAAAGACAACAATATTTCAAAACTATGTACGTATTTGCAAATATAAAGGAAAATCAGTAAAATAAGAGTTAAGAAGACCACGTTTAGTCAGTGTAATAACTAAATTATGTTTGATTCTCCAATTACAAATAAAAACTTTTTCCAACTATTTCTCTAGGAACTCACTATTTAAGTACAAATAGTAAGTTTTTATGTCGTAAAAAAAGTAATTATCAGTTGTTTTCAAATTTTTTTTATGAACTGTGTTTAAAAATTTTTAAATTGATTTTACTCCAAAACAGTATAATTTCTCAAAATGTTACCTTTTCATTATGATACTTGTGTGATTTTTCTCATTTTTGGCTCAAATGAAAACTGCATATGAAAAAGCTAGAGCAATATTTATCCACATATCTTTCAGTTTGATATGCCCCTTATTAAAATTTAGAAATTATTTTTTAAGCATTATAGCCACAACATAAAAGTAACACTTACAATTAGTTACAAAAGTTGTTTGTTTTTTTCTCTAATAATTTTGGATATACTTGATGTTGCGTTCACGCATTGTAATTTAGAATTAGTTACTTATTAGATATTAAGTATTTTTTGTTTAATTAATATTATAAAATATTTTGTTAATTAATTTATTGAGAAATTTGCTATGTCAGCTCTTTGAATTTTGCGCTTTTTGCAATACCTAGTTTTTGTGTAAATATTATAACACAAAGAAGACTAAATTCTGCAGGCCATTTATATACCACCAACAGAGCTGCATCTAATCAATTTTTTATTTATACATAATACAGTTCTCTAAAATCCATATCACCAAACAACTTCCAGGAGCTCACCATTAAGGTGGCCATATCACTGGCCGAGAAATAGTCAAATTTCTGGCGTTTTTAGGTACTGAAATCTTGAAAAGTAAAACGTGTAGAACAAAAGTAAGCACAAAAATAAAATCCTTGATGTTCTGTTTATTCATTGTTACTATTTAAATTTACTCAAATAAAATAATAACTAAAAAAAA